CCAGCCACAGGTGATCAAGACAGATTATCTTAACTGAACAACATAAAAAGTTGATGGCAATCCTGCTATGACTGCTCTTCAGAATCCAGCATTGATAACACTTACAACACCTAATTCAGACAACAGCAGCATTGCAGGTATTGTTGGGCTCCTTCCCTTCTTCATCCTCCTTTCTTTCCTCTCTTTCCTCTAGGGTTGCATTTTATAGATTCTTTAAAAAATACTTTTGAGTAATTTAAGAACTTCAGTGTGCCTGTTCATTTTAGAAAGCACAATTTACATGGCAAAAGATCTCAAAGAGACTACTTAGATCATGGTTGCTTCCTTAGAGAAGTTCTGCCCATACTTAAGCACCTTCTTGAGTGGCGAGCACTCCAACATTGGAGGCATTCAAGAGAAAATTGGGTAATCATCTCTCAGATGTACTTTGATTTGGATTCCTGCACTAAGCAAGGAATTGGACTCAATGGCTTTATAGATCCCTTCCAACTCAATTATTCTATGAAGATCAGGACAGGACCCATCCTAACCACTATACATATTTTTGGCTCCTCTTCAGAGGTTAGACTCTGTGCAAGTTCTCTTAGAAAACTTTCCTACTGGGAGTGTTTCCTTAGCCAGCAACCACTTGTCCACACTGTTCAGCCAATCAAAGCTTCCTTTATGTGCCTAGGTAACATGCTTTGTGAAACCACATCTCAATGTCTATTCTATGACACGCCCTTTCATGATTTATTTTAAGAGAGCTGCCTTTTATTATAGACTATTTATCCATTTAGTCCACTGTCGTCTATTCTGGTCGACACCAGATCCCCAGAGTCTTAGTGAGAGGCCTTCCCCATCACTATCCAAGCACTAGGAATGAAATCCAAGATCTTCTGCACACAGATCAGGAGCGACAACACCAAACTATAGCTTCCCCCAACAATGTCAAACATCTCTCCTGACCATGCAGAGCTCCCCCTCTCCACTGAGGGCCACTCAAGCTGACCCACCTGTCTATTCATGGTCGCCATGGCTTTGGTAACACCTTTCATTGCCTGAGCCATCGAGTTGTTAGATTTAAGGGTCTGTATTTTGAGAGACACTGCTTGGATGTTGGCCCGCATCATGATGAATTTCTTGACATAGCGCCGTGTTCGTACTAGGTCTTTTGCCATGATCTTCACTGCATCCTAGGATGGAGCAGGGGTGAGAAACAGGTTAGTAATTTAAGAACTTCAGTGTGCCTGTTCATTTTAGAAAGCACAATTTACATGGCAAAAGATCTCAAAGAGACTACTTAGATCATGGTTGCTTCCTTAGAGAAGTTCTGCCCATACTTAAGCACCTTCTTGAGTGGCGAGCACTCCAACATTGGAGGCATTCAAGAGAAAATTGGGTAATCATATCTCAGATGTACTTTGATTTGGATTCCTGCACTAAGCAAGGAATTGGACTCAATGGCTTTATAGATCCCTTCCAACTCAATTATTCTATGAAGATCAGGACAGGACCCATCCTAATCACTATACATATTTTTGGCTCCTCTTCAGAGGTTAGACTCTGTGCAAGTTCTCTTAGAAAACTTTCCTACTGGGAGTGTTTCCTTAGCCAGCAACCACTTGTCCACACTGTTCAGCCAATCAAAGCTTCCTTTATGTGGCTAGGTAACATGCTTTGTGGCTAGTTAACATGCTTTGTGAAACCACATCTCAATGTCTATTCTATGACACGCCCTTTCATGATTTAAGAGAGCTGCCTTTTATTATAGACCATTTATCCATTTAGTCCACTGTCGTCTATTCTGGTCGACACCAGATCCCCAGAGTCTTAGTGAGAGGCCTTCCCCATCACTATCCAAGCGCTAGGAATGAAATCCAAGATCTTCTGCACAGAGATCAGGAGCTACAACACCAAACTATAGCTTCCCCAACAATGTCAAACATCTCTCCTGGCCATGCAGAGCTCCCCCTCTCCACTGAGGGCCACTCAAGCTGACCCACCTGTCTATTCATGGTCGCCATGGCTTTGGTAACACCTTTCATTGCCTGAGCCATCGAGTTGTTAGATTTGAGGGTCTGTATTTTGAGAGACACTGCTTGGATGTTGGCCCGCATCATGATGAATTTCTTGACATAGCGCCGTGTTCGTACTAGGTCTTTTGCCATGATCTTCACTGCATCCTAAGATGGAGCAGGGGTGAGAAACAGGTTAGAGATGTGAGATGCAGATGCACAACATTCATGGTGTTTTTTTGTCTGTCTGTTTGTTTGGTTTTTTTGTTATCCCTCTCAAGCTTACCATCTGTCCCTGTTTGGCCATTTTCTTGATGTCAGCAATTATCTTCTTTTCTTGGCCTTCCAGTTTTTGCCGCTCACGGTCCAGCTCTCGCATGGCACGGTTCAGTGCCCGCTGATTTTGCCGCAGCATCTCCTCCGGGGTCTTTCGGCGTCCAAACAGCAGATCCATTGTGACAGAAAAATCAGTCTGCAATTGTTTAGAAACAAAGCAGAAGAGGGGTCAGACAGGTGTACATGCCTAGAAACTTACACCACCAGAGCAGAGCACTACAAAATGAGAATAACGGGTGAACAAGGAAACTACAAACAGAATTTAACAATTACCACCTTACACTGGGCACTAAGAAGAACCAGGGAGAGAGGGGTGAATTGTGATTGATCATTAAAGCCATGCAAAGAAACAGTTCTGTGTGATTTGGTTCACACAAGGAAATATCACTTTTTCAAAAGAAAATACAAGTGACAAAAAAGGCAATTATCAGGCACTACTGTATTTGAAAAAGTGAGGCACCACTGTATTTGAAAAAGCACATACTGGGATTCCATAGAGCTGGGGTCCCTAACCTCCAGTCTGCAGTCTTCTCAGGGCCAGGCCATGGAGACAGATCTCCCAGCCCCCGCAGCACTCTCCCCCATGCACGCATGCATAGACAGATGCCCTGCCACTGCGCATGTGGGCATGGGTGCCCTGCCCACCTGTGCGCACCCCCTGTCCACGCATGCACCCCGCCCACTCACACATGTGCACACGTCCCCACATGCAGGGGGTGCCTGCTCATGCATGGACCCCACCCCCTAACCAGTCCATGGTTGGGAAAAGGTTGGGGACCACTGCCATAGAGCACCTGAGGAAGCCATTTATCTTTATACACCTGCATTAAAGGTACCTTCATTTTTCTGCCTAGTCCAGAAGAAAAATGATACATAGCATTGGCAGATAACTCAGCTTACAGAGCTACAGATTCTAAGTGACCTGACCATGTTCTTAAATGTTTAAATGTCATTCCAAGATAGTTATATGAGTTAATCTGTCTCAATTATTTCCTGTTCAATTGCTTTAAAATAAGCACTTCTACCACATTAGATCTCTGGAGTAGAGCACAGCTGTACCTTTGGACAAAGTCTACTCACGCAGAAGATGTAGATAGCTGCAGCTAGGGACAAACCCAAGACACTAACCTATGTAGCATCACAATGCCTGACATCACAGGGCAGTGACCAG